TGTCTGTCTGTCTGTCTGTCTGTCTGTCTGTCTGTCTGTCTGTCTGTCTGTCTGTTTGACTACTTATCCGTCTATCTGACTATCTGTCCTTCTCCCCTCCCCACTCTCTCTTTTTCTCTATCTCCCCCCACTCCCGTTTCCACCCTGATCTGTCTGTCTGTCTGTCTGTCTGTCTGTCTGTCTGTCTGTCTGTCTGTCTATCTGCCCACCCTCTCTCTCTCCCTCTCTCTCTCCCCTCTCCCGTCTCCCGTCTCCCCCCACCCATCTTTTATCCCCTCCCTGCTTTTTCTGACTATTCAGTAATGCCATACCTTCAATCACCACCTGAAAAGTGGAACATTTCTGCTTGTTCGCGTGATATCCCCCCCCGTTTCTCTCTCTCTCTCTCTCTCTCTCTCTCTCCTCCCCTCCTCACTTTCACTGACCCCTAACCCCTTCAGGTCCATGGACCAGCCAGAAGCTAGAACCACCTTCTACCGCCAAGACTCCCAGGACTCGAGCAAGTCATGTGACCGGAAGTCGTCCGTGGCCGGCGTGCCTGGTGACGCAGTGGGTCCGGAGACGATGGAGTTCGCTGAGATCCGAGACTGTGACTTCCTGGGCAGCGAGAGGATGGAGTTTTTGTTACAGGCGCTTCATCATGAACCGTCCTCGGGGAAGACTTTCCGGAAGTATATAGAGAAGAGTGAACGACCGGTGAGAAGGGGAGGGAGGAGGGATGGAGGGGAGGGAGGAGAGGGAGAGAGGGGAGGGAGGGAGGAGAAGAAGGGGAGGGAGGGAGGAGAAGGAGGGCAGTGTTGTGTTGTGTTAACTGCTGTATTTTGTTTGTTTGTTCCTGTTATTGTAGTTGGTGTTGCTGGTGGTGTCAGTGCAGTTATTGTTGTTGTTGATGTAGGTGATGTATTTGTTGTTGTTGTTGTTGTTGTTGTTGGTATTGCTGTTACTCTTGTTGTTGCTGCTGTTGTTGTTTATGTATTGTGAGCAAAGTGATTTTAATAATATTGTGAGCCAAGTGATTTTAAATATATAATGAGCAAAGTATATTGTGATGATATGATTGTAGTTTTCTGTCAGTGTCTGACGAGGTCTACTTCTGCAGAGAAGAATATTACAATTTCTAAAGTGAAACAAGAAATAAAGATGAAGATTCCTTGTGGTAGCCAATGAGCCCAAGTCTGTCACAGAAGAGTTTGCCACACTCTGAGGTCATGTTATTACAACTATTTCGCACTTGGACTTATCACATCCTTCCGTTTTCAACCCCTCTCCCGCCCCC